GCCTAGCACACAGCTAATGGGGCCTGCGGGAGCCGTGGTGGCCTGTCCCCATGGCAGCTGTCCAGCCTGTGGCCTTGAGGATGCCACCGCTGGCCACCCCGAGGCGCCCTCTTGACTCCCCCAGGGCCTGATCCACAGGATTCTTGGGGGACCCTCAGAGTCACAGCCCCTCCCCCTCCAGTCGTCACTACCGGCCCTACTCTGGCCACCCAGCCGATATTTGGACCTCAGGACCAGCCCAGAGGCAGAAGGATGGGCAGACTGCTCCAGGCCGGACCAACCCCCTCGGTGCCGAACTTCTCGGGTTTTCTATTCTGAGCTGGCTTCTCTCCACCTTCTCTCTCTAGCAAACCGGAAAGAGCCCTGATTTCCCGTCCATGGGGTGGGGGGTTGGGGGTGGGGAGGTGGGCTGGGATCAGGATAATGATTCTTCAACTTGAGTAAAGCACTTGGCTTCCTGCGATTTCTCTCCCCCCCACACGCCCCCACCCCCTGCCTTAATACATAGCATTTTTATCATCCTTAAGACAAAGTAGCTGGCAAAATATTTAAGTGATCTGCAAGAAATGTTTTTATTTTCCCGCGTGCGAATTGGGTTATCTGCCTATCTTGTTTATGAAATTTGGGGCTGCCTTTCCTGCAGTCTGTTCGCCTCTCAAATCTTCCCGGCCACATTTCCATATTTCTGCGTGCTTGTTCTTTGTTAATCACTTGGCAAGCGCTTATTTGAATATTAAAAATTTCTTTAATCATCAAAGGCAGGAGCACAGTCTCATGAATATTCATATTCCCCCCCCTCCTCAGACTGGATTCTAGTTCATTACCCTGCAGTGGGAGCCAAACAGCCATCAATCGCCCTCATTACAGGCCTGGTGTTTTGATTGGCTGCCTGCTGCCCAGAGTTTTTTTATTTTTATTTTTTTATTTTTCCTCTTCTCCTATGAGCTGTCTCCTACCTGCCAACAACTCTCCACCCTCCCCCCCCACCAAAAAAAGAGTCGACAATGCAAGAATAAATTTCTCTGGTTGAAAAACAACTTTGCAAACTTGTCAAGCCGTCCTGGTGGGCTGCCCCGGCCACCCGGCTACCTGCCCCCCCCCTTGCAAAAAAGAAAACCCACAAAAAACAGCCCAGGAAAGAAGGCGGGGGAGAGGGAAAAATTAAATAAATAAATAAAAAGGGAGAAACTTGAGCCTCAGAGATGAATATTTGTCAAGAGAGTTGACGTAAGTTTCATTTGCATAATGACTTTGTACTTCTGCATTAATAAAATTTGCATATGAAGCCATGTTAATTACTCCTGATCATGCTTTTTGCATTCATGCATAGTAATTTTCTCCGACTTGTGAGAATTAATGTCTTGGCATGGGGGGGAGGGGGCGCGGGGATTGTCAGCTTTCCTTGCCAGTGGCCCTCACTCACTCACTCGCGCGGCTCCCCGTCTGACTCCCTCCTGAATCTATGACTCATTTTTGCACTATCGGTAGGAGTTCTTGGCTTCAAAAATGTATCCATTGAAAGGCATCGGTCGGGAGAAAAATATACATGTCCTGCACAGCCTATGCCAGCACGCCTCTGCGAGCTGGGGAGCTGCACCCCGCCCCTGGGGGAGGGGACGCCCCGGGATGGGTGTCGGAGGCGCTTCCCCTCCCGAGCGCTGGGGCTTTTCCAGCGTTTTTGTGTCTGCGCGGTCCAGGCCCAGTGCGCATGCGCGAGGCCCGGGGCTGGCGCTGCTGCGGGCCCCTCCCGCAGGGAGACCTCGGACCCGCCGAGTCCTGCCCTTCCCCGGTGCCCCGGGACATAGGCGGGGTGTCTTATTGTCGGGCTTCTGTTTTGGCGCCCTTGTGTGGGAGCTCCGTGTGCGATGCTGACCTCTCCGAGGCTTGCGGTGCAAGGTGTCCAGCCTCAGTCCCCTGTTTTCAGGGACGGGAAGCCCCGACGCCTACCTCCGAGGGAGGCGTCTGGGCGTCCAGGAGAGGAGATGATGCACACATTCAGGGCTGCTTTCTTTTTGCCTGCTGAAAGCCAGCGCCCGTGATGAGGCGGCGAGCCAGCAGGGCTTTATCCCTAAGCCCCCTGGATGCCACCGAAAGCTGCCATGGCGTCTGGGAGTCCGTCTGCCACGTACCTGCGTGCACGTGCGTGTTCCGGAGGGAGCCCGCCTGGCCTCCGAGCAAAGCACTTTTTAAATCTGTGCCTTGCAGGGCTTTCCAGGGTGCCCCCCTGTGCTCAGCCCTTGCAACATTGTCAGGCTGTGGGGAGGATCAGAGGGAAAAGGGCCAGTTCCCCACGGGAGTGGACGGGTCTGGTGTGCTCAGTGTTTCGGGCAGACTGGCCAGGCCCAGTCCCAGCTTCCTGTAAGGGTGAGGGTCTGGCCGGGTGGCGCTCTGCCCAGTGTCAGGCCCACGGGGATGGACGCCCCTGCTGCTGGTCTGGGGGGCCCTCCGGGTCCGGCCACGTGGCTGGGGCTCTTTGAGGTGGGCTTCCTGGCTGCCCTTGGACGAGGACACTGGTCCCGGAGGAAGGACGTGTCTGGGAGGTGAGGGGGCCGCTGAGCCCTGAGGCCATCTCATCTTGGACTGTGCAAAAACTTGAGATGAGTCAGTCAGGAACCTTCCAGTGCGCGGCGGAGTCATTTCAGCCTGAGCCCCCGAAGGTGTCGCAGCACTCCGTGTGCCGACTGGCCTCTGGCCCTCACGCCCTGGCCTCACTGCCCCGCACCCAGCCCCACGTGGTGTTGCTCTGCCTTTGCCTGCCGGCCTTTCCTGCACAAGGAGGACCTCAGGAAGGGGCTGCCCTCGTCTTCTCCAGCGCCTGCACGAGCGGATTCCTGGGGTCCCACCTTTGGGCTGAGCGCCAGGTTGCATGACTTGGGGTGAGGTCAGGGGACTGTCCCTCCGAGAGCATCCCGAGGGTCCTTTGAGGCAGCTTAGGCCTGGAAGCCCCTTGCCCTCACCTCCCGCTGGGCGGCCTGCGGGGTGTCAGCAGCCCCTTTACGCAGGACAGGCTCCCCCCGCCCCCCAAGCTGGGGTGCCTTTGCCTTTGTCGCCTGGCTTGTCTTCGTCCCGGGCAGGCCCTGTCTTGCAGACCCAGGTTTGCTGCCCTGGTGCTTGGACAAAGGTCCCTGTGGGTTTTTTGTGCCCAGGGGATGCTGAGGGCTGTGTTGTGGCCTCACCCCAAACCCCGGGCCAGGACGTGGTCTCTTGTGGCCCCCAGTGGCTCCCCTGAGGCCCGGGACCCTCACCCCCGCCCCCACCCCTTTAGTACAGCGTTCCTCTTCCCCAGCTGCCGCCTCGGGGGAAGCTGGGTGTACCTGGCTTGGAGACCTGGGTTCAAGCCCCAGGTCTGAGTGCCGCTTCCCCTCTGTGAAGGGGGCCGGTGCTACTTGCTCATGAGTGGGTGCCACATGCCACACCGGCTCCTGGGGGCAACACCCAGCCCAAAGTCATGGTCACCACGGCGTGGTGGCGGGTGATCTGGAGCCGCAGGGCTGACGTAGGATCGGAGCCAGGGTCAGATGTGCTGTGCCCAGTGCTGGGGGTGTCAGGCCGGGCTGGCCAGGGCAGGCTTCCCAAAGGAGGCGGGTGGCAGGTGCCAACCTTCCCTGGGTCTGCACCCAGATGGGGTGTGGTCCTCTGCTCCGCATGGGAGGGAGCTCTGCCGTGCTTTCTGGGGCGGGGCTCAGTGCCGCCCTGGACCGGCCCGCAGGAGGTCTCCGCTGGCCCAGGAGGCCCACGTGATGGGGATGTCGGCTTTGGCCTCTCAGTGAGGCGTTTTCAGGTCCCCGCAAATGTCCTGAACTCCCATTCTGGGTTACATGTGTTTGGGAGAGGCAGGGGGACACGGAGCTAGCTGGTCTTGCAGCCAGGCAGAGGGCCCTGCCGCTTCTGCAGCTTTTGGGGTCCCGTCATCAGTTTCCCGTCTGGGGCAGTGGGTCCCCAAGCCTGGGCCCAGGGAGTGTGGGGCGCTTGCTCAGCTGAAGATGGGGAGGCCCCGGCTTCCGTGGGCTGGCTGTTCCCGGGCCCTTTGTGTGCTCGGGCGCCCACGTGGGGGCCGTGGCGGCAGGCCCCCCTGCAGACCTGCGCGGGGCGGGGACGGCCGGGTGGCCTCCCTGGCAGAGCCGGCCGGGCCCAGCTGCCCTCATCTTGTTGATGTTTTCTTTTTGTCTCTCTGATGCTTCCCCGCTCAATTATTTACCCAGGGAATTTGGGCTTCTTCACTTGTGGTTTTGGCAAGGGCTTCACACAAATGTTTTGCCCTGGTGGTCTCTTAGCCATTTAAGATAAACGGCCAAATCAAACGCAGGCCTTGCCGGGGAGCCAGCGCGAGCGGCGGGGCTGGGCCGAGCCAGGCGGCCCCTGCCCAGCCTGGCGGCTGCCAGGGGGTGAGGCGTTCCGGGCCTGGCTAGGTCGGGGCTTTCTGGGAGGGGCATCCAAAGCCTCCCGCAAGGCCTTGGGGCTCGGGTGCTCCGTGTTCCGTGCCCAGTTGCCGAGGAGGACGCTGGGCTGGAGAGAGACGCCGGCCGGCCGCCCGTCAGCGCTGGTGAACGAGTGTCCAGGCGCTGGAGCTGGACTGTGGGCCTGAGGCCTGCATGACAGCCCAACCCAGCAGGCAGTGTGGGAGCTTCTCCGCCCCCGGGGTGGGGGGAGTCCAGACTTTGGGGGGAACATCCTCAAGTAGAGCCTGCTCCAGAAGTCCCCGCACCCGGGGGGTCCGTGCCGGGCTTAGGGGCCCCGACAGTCCCTGTGTGCCCCACTCTGCCTTCGGCCCCCAGGGATGGGAGTCTGGCCCAGGACAGCCCAGAGCCGCAGCTGTGCAGGTAGCACCCCCTGCCCGCCACCCTGCCCTGCACCCCCTTGCCAGCCCTGCAGAGCCTGGCGCCCCGGTCTCCACCTCCAAGGGCGGCCTGCAGCCCTCGGCCCCGGGCCCCGTCTGCACCCTGAGCCCCTCGTGTCGTCCAGGCCCCACTGACCAGTGTTTTCTATTGTTTTTTCTCCAGGGCCGTGCAGGCCTGCCCAGCTGCCAGCGATGGCCCCCATAGCCGCCTCCTCCTCCCACTCTCACACATCCGTGATCACTTCACCTCTGCGCGCCCTGGGCGCTCTCCCGCCTTGCCTCCCCCTGCCGTGCTGCAGCGCGCGCCCTGTCTCGGGTGACGGGACTCAGGGTGAGGGTCAGACGGAGGCTCCCTTTGGATGCCAGTGTCAGTTGTCAGGTAACCGACGCCGCGGTGGGGGGCGGGCTCCCGGGACTGCGGGTGCGCCCTGGCAGCGCTGGCGGCTGTCTCTGCAGGGGGGCTGGGCAAGGCGGGGCCCAGGGAGGGCGTGCCTCCCCAGCCCCAAAAGACACTTGGGGGGTGCCGGGGGACATGGGGACGGCGGCCCTGCCCCGGCCTCTCCGTCGGGAGGTGCCCTCCCCTCTGCTGTGCGAGGAGCCTCGCTCCCAGGATGCACTCCGCAGCCTCCGGATTTCATCTCTTTGGGCTGTTTAGTTAAAGCGTAATTGGATAAAACTTAACATCTGAGATGGTCTTCTGCCCTCGTCACCGCCACCCCACCCCCCGGGCTCTCCCTCACCCCCAGACTCAGCTGGAGGGGCCCCTGGCTGGCCTGGGTATCGTCCACGAAGCTGAGGTGCTCTTTGGGGGCAGGGTCCGAGGAGGGTCACTCTGGCTCGCTCGCGGGGTGTGGCCACGAAGCCGAGGTGCTCTTTGGGGGGAGGGTCCGAGGACGGTCACTCTGGCTCGCTCGCGGGGTGTGGTGCGCGCGGAGGGCTGGGGTCGGGCTGAGCCTGCTGTGTGCCCGCTGGGCCGACTGCAGACCCCTCTCCTGCTCCCTCGGGGCAGTGTCTGCCCACCTGTCCTCTGTCCTCTCCTCCCCTCCGGATTCCCATTCTGGACTTTGGGGCCCCGAGAGTTTGCAGGCCACCTCTCTTGCCCCACTTCTCAGAGGGGCCTGGTGGGGACCCCTTGAGGCCACAGGGGGCGTTGTCAGCAGACATAGGTGTACGCGCTCCCCAGACTGGCTCCCACACGGGGGCCAGGGCAGGTACAGGGGCCCCTGTTGTGTCCCAGCGCCCTGCAGACTGGGGTGTGAGAGAAAGACACGATCAGTCAGGTTTTGCTGTCCCAAGGGCCAGTCCCAGTGGGAGCCCTAGCCGCCAGGGCTGGACCTAGCCTTGGGTTACAGCTCCCTGGACCCTTCAGCTGGGAGTGGCCTCAGCTTCAGCTCCCTGCCCTGACGGTGTGAGTCCTGAGGCCTAGACAGGCCGTGAGCACGCAGAGGGACCGTGGCAAGGGACAAGGAGGGGCCCGGCCTGCCGCCTCGCCCCTGGGGCTGCGGCTCCGGCTCTTGGCTGGCTGGGTGCTGGCTGGCGCGAGGTGCCCGCTCCGTCTGGGGCCTGCCCTGTCCTCACGGCTTCCTGTAATTAGCGCTGCAGCCGCTGCAGCCCCTGCAGCCGCTCGGGGGGCCTGCTAGTGAAGATTAGCCTGAGTGTTTATGACTGGACTCCGTCAAGTTCTGCGGTGCAGAAACCTGAGCTCCCAGGCCGAGGGGCGCTTGGGACTTCGCTTAACCCTCTCTTGGCTCTGGCTCTGCCCTGAAGGCCCGGTGCGGGGCGGTCATGCCCACCCCCATTTTGTAGATGGGGGTAAAGGCATGGAGTGGTGAGTGTGCGGGCTGAGGCTGCAGAACTGGGGTACTTCCTCGGGCTGCCTCCCCACAGCCCCCCTTCCTGGCAACGCGTGCCCCCACTGACGTGCAGGGAGGCCCCGCTGTGTGGCTCTGCAGCTGGGTGCCCACTCGGGGCTGGGAGCTGGGCCTAGGGTGGGGCGGGGCTCTGATGGGGCCCTCGTGGCTGCCTGAGCAGACAGAGTCGCTCTGCTTCATAGAAGAGAAAATGCGCCCCAGGGACATTGAGAACTCAGGTTCCTGAATGTGTACATGCTTTAATTCATTCACTCACTCATTCATTCATTCACTCATTCATTCATTCACTCACTCATTCATTCACTCACTAACTCATTCATTCATTCACTCATTCATTCACCCACTCACTCACTCATTCATTCACCCACTCATTCATTCATTCATTCACTCACTCATTGACTCACTCATTCATTCACTCACTCACTCATTCATTCACTCACTCACTCATTCACTCACTAGCTCATTCATTCATTCACTCATTCATTCACTCACTCATTGACTCATTCATTCATTCACTCATTCATTCATTCACTCATTGACTCACTCACTCATTCATTCATTCACTCACTCACTCATTCACTCATTCATTTATTCACTCATTCATTCAATCATTCTTCCACTAAATGTCCTTTCTGGGTACCTGGTTGGAGGCACCGGGCAAACCATGGCAGGTCAGGCCGGGCAGGGCCTGCTCTCCTGCAGTGTTCGGGCACTGGGTATGAGGAGCAGAGCAGGATCTGGTAGGTGCTTTGGAGGCGGCAGGGGGCAGGGGTGGGATTTGTCCAAGGATGGGTCCCACACCCCCCCTCCTTTGTGCTGGTATCTGGCCGAGAGCCCCACTTGATGGTGTGAGCTGTGGGTGCCCCCAGTCTTGCTGGAGGTGCCCGGTGGGGAGTGAGGCCGGGTGCTGTGGTTCCTGGGGTCGAGCCCCTGGGACACCCCTGCTGGTCCAGCTTCCTCTGTTTTGGGTCCCCCATTCATGAGCCTGCACCAGGGGGTGCCCCATATTTTCTTATCAATTTCAATACTAGAAAATACCCTATTCGGGTGGTTTCTGTCCCTGGCACTGGGCTGTTTGTTGAGATGTTTCCAGTGCCTGTTTCAGTAGTAGTTGGAATGGAGTCATGAAACTCCAGTGGACGGCTCGGAGGGTGCCGTCCTTGGCAAAGACAGAGCGGGGCGCCATCCTCACCCTGTTCTGCTCCCTTCGGATCAGGACACATGAGTCTTTCTCTTCAAATTAATATGGAAAACCCCAGTGGAAACGTGTTCCAAGCGGGTTGATGGTGTGCCCAGGAATGGATGGGCTCCAGGCTTTAGAGGCGTGGTGACTTTATGGGGGGCAGAAGCCACCCAGCGCTGCGTGTCGGTGTGCAGCCGTGACCCCAGCCACCCTGTCGAAGGTCACTGTGGGGGTGGGGCAGGTCCTAGGGCTTTGTTTCTTTTTTGACTCTACTGAAATAATGGGGAGCTGTGAGTCCAGGCGTTTCTGGAAACAGTAGTTTCTTCCTCCTATATGTGGGATTTCTGCTTCACGGTGCTGTGGAGGTGGAGGGTCTGGCTGGGGGCCTGCCCCTCTTCCCATCTGGCTGGTGATTTTGAATGAGTCTCTGGGCCTCTCTGGGTCTCAGTTTCCCTTCTGTAAAATAATAACTCCCCCCCACCCCAACACCCGCCGTACATAAAACATTTAAAACTGAGGCTCTTTCTATTGACTTGTGAGACAGGTTGAGTTGATTTGACAGCTGAGCTGCGGGGCACCCCCCACCCTGGGCTGGGCTTGGCTAGGGTTTCCCAGGCAGGGGGTGGGTGTTCAGAGAGGATGTGCAACTCCTTGGCTTTGCCCCCCAGATCCTTCCTCATGTTGAAGTGTTCCCGGTTGGCGGGAGGGGCGGGGTCACCAAGTGTCAGGCTGACCAGGGAAGGCGTGGCCTGCGTGGCTGCATCCGAACCCCTCCTCTCCCTCAGGGTCCCTGGCGCTCCGTGGGGTGCTGCTTGGACCTGCTTGGGAGAATTGCGTGAAGTCAGTCACACCGGGTGCGGAGCCAGCCCTGTGGACTGGGGGCCACACGTCAGGTCCTTGCGTGTCCGGCATTGGCACAGGCTACGTCCTCACTCAGGCTGGGGCCCGGTTCCATTCTCAAAAGCACTTAGCCTTGGGCTGCTAAGGTCCTGTCAGGAGGTGAGGAGGGAACAGAAACTTCATTGCATATTTAAAAGCTGCAAATGGTCATCACCCACAGTGATTAATACATGCGCTGGGTGAAGTTCAAGGTCTCACGCGAGAACACACAGGATCCCAGCTCGGGGAAGTGGAAGTGTTGCGTTTAATAGAGGGAGTCGGTTGCAGTCATTAGTATATGCTGAAATCGCAGGGCAATCTTGTAAAGTTAAATTCAATTTACTTTTCTACTGAAATTGTGCTTGCTGTGTTATTTAACTAGTCTGGGGTTTCTTGGCATGGGTTAAAGGGACAATAAAGATAAAAGAATACCTGTACGTAAATAGCTGGGTCTAACAGTAGAACCTGCCGTGTTCTCCTCCTTCAATTATATCCCACTGCTTACTTTGTGTTGGTTTTTATAACCGGAGCTGTCCAACGGGGCGCCGTGGATTAGACCACCCTAGCTGTGGAGGCTTGATGCAATTAATACAGTCTGTCTGGAAAGTGGCCTTATTTCTGGAAGTTTTATGTTAATGATATGGTCTGTGCTTTGCACATTTCATGCCAGAACAAGAAGCAAGCCGGAGTTGCATTCTGGACTGGGTCTGATTAACACCGCTGGCTCCGTGGCCGGCCGAGGGCGATGCGGACCAAATGGCCTCACTCGCGGGGGCCGCTGACGCAGCGCCTGGATCCCGGTGCAGGGGGTCCAGGGGCGCCCCACAGGGCGCGAGAGCCCTGTGGAGGCTGGAGGGGGGTAAGGATGGGAAGGAAGAAGAGAAAACATGAGTGCGGCTGGCTAAGCTGGCAGGCTAAGCTGGCATGGACAGAAGCACTTCATCGGGGCAGGTCAGAGGCTCTGGCAAGGTCGAATGTGTTCTCGGCCTCCTTGGGCTGCCTAGGTAGGTCCCCGTGGGAAGGTGCCGGCTCCCTAGGGCCTCGCGGGAGTCATCTGGGCGCCTCACCACGTCTCCAAGGCCCGGGGCTGGGTGCAGCAGCACAGTCCTGCCCGCCGGCCCCACAGCTTTCCTGCACCTCGGGCTTCCCGGGAAGGGGCAGAGAGGCCCTGCACCGCCTGTCTGCAGGGGAGTGCCTGGAGGAGGCTCCGGGGAGAGGAAGTCGGCTCTGCAGCTGTGGCGAGGGAGCGGCAGGACCTGGGTGGACTCCAGGAGAGCCAGCCGCTGCTCTAGCACCCAGGGGAGGAGGCGCCGCTGGAGAGGGGCGGGGCGGGAGCGCTGCCCTAGGGGGGCGGGGGTGGGGTGCCTACCCTTGCCGCTGTCCTGAGATAAAAGGGTCCCAGCAGCGTCCCAGGCCGAGACCCCTCCAGCCGCGCCAGATTCCATT